TGATCTATCTTCTTGTCGTTCCCATCCGTCCACACGCTCCTCATTTCGACAGCTACCCTCTCGCATTAACGTTTATAAAAATTCCCCTGTACCCTACCTGGCCCGACTACTCATCAAAAAGGAACAGGTATCAAATGAACTACGTCAAATGCTTTGTACATGATACGTATATCACCGACTTTGTTTACCTTTTGTTTTGATTATTTTTATTTCATTCTGCGTGACGAACAATGTACATTTTTAACTGAAATGTAAGCATATATGCTTACAAAAGTTACAAATACAATACAATACAAGTAAAGGATGCTAATCGACTTTCTTTACTCGATCAGCGATGTATGCGAAGCATTGCTCGTATCTGGTGGGAACATCGAATGAGTGATTGCAAGGTTTGTCTTCGTGTGTTGGGTGTGAATAGCTGCTGTCTAACAGAAGTAATCACTTTACACCGCCTCCGATAGCTTGGTCACGTGCTGCGTATGTCGGCCTGACTACCTTTCTGTGTTCTGTTTGCACGTGCTGGAAGAAGCTCCTCGGCAGTCACAGCATGACATGGCGTAGAGGTATGAAGAAGTTGTCTCCGGCTGGTACAGCCCACCTTCCAGGTTGGGGCCAAACGAATGAGGATCGTCTTTTGTTTTACATGTAATTGTTTAACCTTCTTTACTCTGTTCTGCATCCAAATCCACGCATCCCCTGTTTCTGTTATTCTTGTTGTTGCGTTGGCACCATGATTGTCCGCAAGTCCATTGATACATATATATATATATATATATATATATATATATATAGTGTAAAATACTGATCGAAAATTAAAACAGCAAGCATTACATGAATGACTTGCAAAATACCGGACTGATTATTGGGTTTGCAATGCTTCCTTAACCACCTCGTATGTATATAAGAAAGCTGACGGAGTCAAAACGCCTTGTGGCATTAATAATGTTCACAACTGCAATCTGTACCTCTTGTTGTTCATTACTCCTCGTGCTCGAATGTGGTTTCCGTTTTTCCGATCTATTCCAATCAGACTTGTGACCGATTGCGGTCAGTGTTTCATTACCCTTGTAAATCGGTTCTATTTGCTTTTCGAACGTCACAAGCAGAATACTTACTCATCTCCAACTTGATCAGGAGACAACGAACCAAAACGTTTTCCCTATTAGGCTGTAGACATAACCTGCAAGTCCTAAACCGCTCTATCCCGCAGGCACAA